AAAGCTAGTGCGGATTCACCCACTTGTAGGTGCCCTCGTACTGGAAGCCCACTCTCTTCATCAGCTCGTCCGCTTCCACAGGGCCGCGGCTGGGAGGGGGACAGGTGGAAGAAGAGGTGAGGAAACCCTGAGCCCCAGAGTCCCCCTCCCCCACCACCCCCATCACCTCCCCCTGCCCGCACCCCGCACCTTCCGTAGACGTAGGGGATGGGCTGGGCCTTCTCACGTTCGATCTGGTGCAGCAGAGGAGTGAAGATCCGCCAGGCCTCCCGCAGCTCGTCACTGAGGGGACAGGGGGCGGCGACGGGGTGGGTGGCAGCCCAGAGGGAAGGAGGTGGGGAAGGAGGGGGGGAGGGGCCACCCCTCACCTGCGCACGAAGTGCATCTGGCTCCCACAGAAGACGTCGAGGATGAGGCGCTCGTAGGCGTCGGGGAGCTTCACGTTCTGCCAGCGGACAGGCGGGAGGGAGTCACCGAGGAGCGTGCCCCTTGGAACCCTGGCCGCCACCCCCTCCCCGCAGGCGGGCACCCACCTTGTATCTGTTGCCGTAGGTCAGGTCCAGCTCCGACTCCTCGGGGTTGAAGAACATGCCAGGCTTCTTGGTCATCATCTTGGTGTACACGGCCTCATTGGGCTGCACGCGGATCACCAGCTCATTGCGCTTGCACTGCTGTCGGAAGATGTCCCCGGCCACGTCGCAGAACTGCAGGCGCACCTCGGCCTTGCGCTCGTTCAGGGCTTTGCCGCAGCGCAGGATGAAGGGCACCCCTGGGGGGACAAGGCCAGCCTTGGGGGGCCATTCGGGTGGATGAGGGGGCCAGGTCCCAGCACCGCGGGCCCAGCGGCATCACCTACCGTCCCACCGCTCGTTCTCCACGTAGAGGACGACGGCCGCAAAGGTGGCTGTGGTGGACCCCTGGGGCACTGTGGGGTCATCCAGGTACCCTTTGGTGGCTTCTCCCTCTCCGTTGGGGTTCCCCACATACTGGCCCAGGACCACGTTACTCGCCTGCACCTCTGAGATACATTTCAACACCTTGACCTGGAGAAGAGCCAGGGAGAGGGGCCCCTTGGGTAACAAGGACAGCAGGTGCCAGGAACCATGTGACTCCGAGGGGTGGCCTTCCTGGACGGGTGAGTGGCCCAGATAGTCAGGAGGCTCCGTCACGCAAGGGCCCTCTGGGGCCACCTCAGCCCACCCTCACTGTTTCTGAAGGAGAAGCTAAGGCCTAGAAGGTCAGTTCTGGGACAGGACACCTCGGGCTCAGGACTGGTTGCTGCAGAAGGGGGAGGGGCCTGGGAGGGCACAGCTCCACCCACCTTCTCATCGCGGACGTCATCCGAGTGGGTGGAGGCGGGCTTCTCCATGGCCACCAGACACAGCATCTGCAGGAGGTGGTTCTGCATCACATCCCTGGTGGGAGGAAGGAACAGACAGTGAGCTAAGGCCTCTCCTTGTTGGCCAGGTTCTGGGGGCTCATGGCCTTAAACTGGGCTTGTTTCCTGATCCCCCGTGTCTGCCAGGTCCCCTTAAGGCAAAGGAAGAAGACCGTGACCACTCCTGACTGCTCAGACACTCCTGCTGCCAAAACAGGAAGAGGCGACCCTGCAGGGTGGCGGGATGCCCGCCCCCTCGATCTCCCAGGAAGTGGAGCCAGGCTCTCACCGGATGATCCCAAATTCATCGAAGTAGCCCCCACGACCCTCAGTGCCAAAGGGCTCTTTGAAGGTGAGAATGACGCAGGCGATGTTGTCCCGGTTCCAGATGGGGCCGAAGATCCTGTTGGCAAACCTGCAGGAGGGGCAGGGTGAAGGCTGGTGGGCGTCCGAGGGGGCAGCAGCAGGACCCCCCAGCGCCCAGCCCTGGCCCCGGTCGCACCTCAGCACCATAAGGTTCTGGACCATCTCCTTGCCCAGGTAGTGGTCGATGCGGTAGATCTGGTCCTCGCGGAACAGGGAGGCGATGTGGTTGGACAACCGGTTGGAGCTCTGCAGGTCCCTCCCGAAGGGCTTCTCCACGATGATGCGATTCCAGCCTCTGCGGGAGGCCAGAGCTGCGTCACTCCCACACCCTCCCTGGGGACCAGGGCTGAGACCCTCATCCCCCTCCAAAGCCCGTTCCCCAGGGAGTGAGGGCAGAGCCTCCCTGCCGCCGCTCTACAGTGAGATGAGTCAGCAAAGCTCTGCCGGGCTGGCCCTCCCCCCGCCTCAGCACGGAGAACACCTCCTCTCCTTCCCAGCCCTCAGCGCCACGCTCAAAGCCTCCTCAGAAGCTTTCTGGGCTGACTGGCTGGTGGCTGGAAGGAGCGCCACTGGCTGGCTCTGCTCCCTCCTGGTCCCCAAGGGTCAGGAGTGGCCCCGAGCTAGTGAGGAAACGGGGAGGGGATGCCAAAAGCAGAGCCACCTCCATGGGTTTTAATGTGGAGAAAGATCCCTTATTCCTCACGGAGAGTTAATGTGGGACAAAGTGAAACCGACACGGCCGTGGCTTTGGAAAAACGACAGAGCGCTGAGCTGCTGCGGCACAGGCAGCAGGGTTCCCGTGGACCAACGCCGCCCTCTGGTGGTGGTCGAAGGGACCCTGAGAAACGCCGAAAGCTAGAGTAAGCGACCGGCAGCAAGAGTTTCGTGGAGCAACACTGCCACCTTGTGGTGCTAGGTGGGACTGCTGCCAGGGACAACGGGATTTCATACAGGGGATTTGGAAGGTAAACGGGTGGTGGCATTTTCAGTAAAGGCTATTGGAGAACTACTCTTACTCCTATTGCCTTCTTTGGAGAGCTAATTCATGGCAAGAACAAACACGGGACATCTATCTTTTTCAGACTCCCTAGATCGGTCGGCCCAGGAGGCAGGAAGGGAGGGTGAAGGAGCAGCCTTACGTCTGGCTCATGCAGGTTTCGTGGATGTTCTTGGTGACAGCCTCATAGACAGTGGGGGGCAAGGCCAGGTAGAAGAGGCGGTTGGCCTGTGGGCCCTGGTGGAGAGCGTTCATGTGGCTGTTGAGGCGCTCGTAGGAGGCTGTGTCGTCGTACTGACCGGCCACGTAGGAGTTGCGAGCAAAGAACTCATCCAGTTTGGGTTCCTCCTCCGCGGTGGCCTAGAAAACACGGATGCCAGGGTGTCGGAGCGGCCCCTCCTTCCCTCCCTGACCCCACAGGCAGGCTGGGCTCCCCGAGAAGTCAGCCATCCTGGCCCTGCACTGGGCTCACTCCCATCTCGTCGGCTTTGCACACCCATGGGGGCGGGGGCCGCGTGACCGAAGACGGAAGCCAGAGCTCAGGAAACTTTGACCTGGGAGAAAGATCTCTCTCCAAAGTCATTCCACCAAAGTATGGTATGTTGAGAAAAGTCAGGCTTGCAGCATTTCCATGGTGCAGGGCCACAGGGTACAGTGGGGAGGAACTAGTGAGCCCAAGTCAGAGGGGGCTGGGCACCAGGGGTCTCAGGCTGGCGTCAAGGAAGCGGTGGGAGCAGGTGTGGAGGAGTGCCAGGCTGAGGATTGCTAGGGAGGAAGTGGCCCCGGCACGGGGGGAAAGGCTGGGCCTGGGGGGAGGGAGGAAGGGCATCTGAGATGGGAGGCGGGTATGGCACGTATGGAGACCCCAGAAGCCACTCACTTTGAAGAAGGGCTCGCTCTGCTTGCGGATGTCAGCCACTGTGAGGCGGGAGCGGGCATAGCCCACGATGTAGGTGTCTTCGGGCAAAAGGCCATCCCGGAACAGCCACCTGAGGGCAGAGCATGGCTGCGGCGAGGGCGAGGGCAAGAGGACCGCGGGGGGCAGTGAGCAGCGGGGGAACAAGCTTACCAGATGGTGGGGTAGATCTTCTTCTTGGCCAGGTCACCCTGTGGCAGAGAAAACAGGCATGGTTAGGAGCCGAGGACATGCCCTGATCATCTCCCCCCAGGACACCCGGGTACCCTTGTCCTGCCCCTGTGTACAGCCTGAGCAGCTTGAACTAGAGCCCAGCCTAGCCCTTGACCCTGACCCGACAGTGCTCGCACACTGCCGGGGGCACTTCGAGGCAAAGAGGCCTTGTGCTGGCCAGGAGGCAACCACCAACCCGCTGGTTCCACGATCCACAGACCCCCGTCTCTGGTCGAGCAGGCAGAACCGAAGCCAACACAAGATGCCCGCCTCTAAACAGCTCACGGGCTAAAGAAAACCCTAAATTCCCTGGAACCGAATGGCAATGGAAGTAGCACACATCAAATGAGACACGACCGTAAATGCTTAGGTGAGCAAAGAAGGATGGCTGGGGGCTGATGAGCTCAGAATTCAATTGAAGAAGTTACAAAAAGGACAGCAGAACTTTAAACCCAAACAAATTACAAGGCAGAGAACAATGAAAAATAAAAATGAGTAAAATGGAAAACAAACCAAAAGAAAAGATCAAAAAGCCGAAAGTTGGTGTTTGAAAAAGACTAATCAAAACAGAGCCTTCTGGCAAGACCGGTTTTTTACAATAACTAATTAATTATTGGCTGCGTTGGGTCTTCGTTGCTGTGTGTGGGCTTTCTCTAGTTGCAGCGAGTGGGGGCTACTCTTGGTTGCTGTGCGCGGGCTTCTCATTGCGGTGGCTTCTCTTGTTGCGGAGCACAGGCTTCAGTAGTTGTGGCTCGCGGGCTCAGCAGTTGTGGCGCACGGGCTTAGTTGCTCTGAGGCATGTGGGATCTTCCTGGACCAGGGCTCAAACCCGTGTCCCCTGCATTGGCAGGTGGATTCTTAAACACTGCACCACCAGGGAAGTCCCAAGACTGCTTTTTAAACAGGCACCAAGAATTAGGAGTGCAGTGGGACAAAACTACCGATGGGAAAGACAGAAGAGGGGTTTATGAACAACCTTACTGCATGTCTGACAACTTACGTGAAATGGACACATTTCTAGAAAAATCCAATATACCAAAACGGAGCAAGGGACCTGAGCAGGCAATGGTTATTAAGGAGACAGGATTGCAGCCACAGCCTTCCCAACGAGACAAGCCTGGCCCTGATCCTGGCACAGAAAGCTCTGCCAGCGGGTCTACCAGGAAGAGAGAACACCAGTCTGAGGCAAAGTCTGCCTGGGAAGCACCTGCTGAGCCACGTGATGGGGCCCCAGAACCCTGCGGCTGGAACCTCTGAGAAATGCACACAGGAGGCCCCAAGCCCATCTCGTCCATGTACACAGATGCAGATGCAAAATTTCTGCAGAAGATACCAGCAAACCCAATCATGCAACATCAAAAATGGAATATGTCAGAATCAAGTTGGGGTCATCCTGCAAATGAAAGGTTGGTTTGATGCTGAAAAGCAAAAAAAAAAAAAACAAAAACACTGAAATTCACCACATTAACAGATTAAAGGAAAAAAGCTGTAAGAAATCTGTCTACTCCTTTCGATTTTTCAATCTAGCAACCTTGCTAAACTCACCAGATGTAGATAAAGTGTTCCAGACATCAACATCTATCACAATAGGACCTCTTACCAAACTAGGAATAAAAGGGAACTTCCTTATCTTGATAAACAGCACCTATTAAAAACCCTCACAAACATCATATATTGTGGGGAAATGTTGAAATAATCCCCTTTAAACAGCCAGGAGCAAGAAAAGAGCGCCTGCCATTGGCTGTTTATTCAATGCCCCACCAGAAGCCCTGACAGCGGCAGGTGGAGAGCAGACAAGATGTGAGGACGGGAAACGAAGAGCCACGCTGGCCCTCTTTGTAGCTGACAGTCTGTCCATTAAAAGAAAACCACCTCGGGCTTCCCTGGTGGCGCAGGGTGGTTGGGAGTCCGCCTGCCGATGCAGGGGACACGGGTTCGTGCCCCGGTCTGGGAGGATCCCGCATGCCGCAGAGTGGCTGGGCCCGTGAGCCGTGGCCGCTGAGCCTGCGCGTCCGGAGCCTGTGCTCCGCAACGGGAGACGCCACAGTGGTGAGAGGCCTGCGTACCGCAAAAAAAAAAAAAAAAAAAAAAAAAAAAAAAAAAAAAAAACAACCACAAAAAAAAACAGACAAATTAACACAACATTGTAAACCAACTATATTTGAATAAAAAAAAAAAAAAAACCACCTCAAAGCAAGCTACAGGCAAATTATTACAATTAATGAGATTTTAGCAAGGTTGCTAGATTTAAAAAAATCAACAGATGGGAGAAGAAACAGATTTCTTAGGACACAGAAAGCAGTAATCAGAAAAACGGGTAGATGAAGGTTTCAGCAAAATTAGAAACTCCTGTTCACCATTATACACTACTAAAAAGGTGAATAGAAAAAAAGAAAAAAAAGAAGATGAATCCACCCAAAGGCTCAAATCCATCAACAGGGGATGGACAGGCAGCATCAAGGCGTGAGCCGAGGGGTTCCCTGGCGGGCCAGTGGTTAGGGTTAGGGCTCCTGCTTCCACTTCAGGGGGCCTGGGTTCAATCCCTGGTCGGGGAACTAAGATCCTGCAAGCTGTGCAGGAGGCCAAAACAAAAACAAAAACAAACAAAAAAGGGATGAGCCAGTGACCCACCCAGCACATGTGAATCTCAAAACTGTAATGCTAAGCCCCAGACCCAGACACAAGACTAAATACCCTGAGTTCATTTAAGTGAAGCTTTAGAAAAGGCAAAATGGTTGCACGATGATGGAAGTGACAGCCACGGTGTTCCAGAGCAGGAGGTGGACCACCGCCCAAGGACTTCCTGGGGAGGTGGGAACATCCTCTTTGCTAATAAAGGTGTGTACACCTTTACAGTGAAAATGGGTGCCTTTCAACGTGTACAAGTTTTACCTAAAAATAAAAAGACTGAAAAGAATAATAACCGAGCAGAGGGTGGGGCCCGGGTAGCCTGAGCGCTTAGCTGTTGACTTGTGCGCACGTGAAACTTTCCAAAGTAAAAGCAAGGGTATGAACACACAGTAACTGTGGGCAACAATATGGTCATCCCACGAAGGTGACAGAAGACTCACTAAAAAGTCACTAAAAAGTCCCTTCTCTCCACTCCAGTTCAGTCGCCGTGGCCACGGCAACATGCGTTAATTTGGTGACCGGACAAAGGAATTCTCCACTCAGGTGGAAGAGGCTTCGAGTGAGGGCATGGCCGGGGGTGGGGTGGGTGGGTGGGGCGGGGTGGGGGGCAGAGGAAGCCTGTGGGGCACAGCAGGCCACCCTTTCATGAGCCCGCCCTGTAATCAGGGAGGGCCGCGGAGGCGCTGGACTCACCCTGGGCAGGAAAACCACCTCCAGGGATAAGGACCCAAATCTTCGCGGCAAAATGACCTTAGGAGCCACGTAACCACTGGATGGGTTCTATGAACCACTGCAGAACGGAAGCCGTGTGACCAGAAGCGAAGCAACTCCAACCTGATTAAATCCCTGCCCCCTAGACAGGCAGGTAGGAAGGCACGTGGGGGCTCCTGGGTGGCGGTGGAGGTCGGGGCGGGCCACTTGTGAGACTCAAACGTTTGCGTTCCTCCTGTCCTTGGCTTCAGCTTCCAACTCCCGGGCTGAGCCGACCTCTGCATGCAGACAAGCCCAGGTGTCTGTTCCAGCCCAGGTCACCACCTCCAGGCTCCACTGGGACCCTGATGGCCCGAAGTGGGCGGTTCCCTGTGCTGCTGCCCCTGCCCATGTCTTGCCAACTGCTCAGAACTGATCCCCCACGTGCCTGCCACCTTCCATGGGAGCCACAGAGACGGCAGCGCATCAAGGTTCGGCTCCAACCCCCAGCCGGGGCCTCGAGCTGCCCCAGAGCCCAGTAGCCCCCAGCTGCGGCCCCCTCCTCCCAGGGCCCATCTGCGCCTGCTTCCTGCTTCTCCATCACTGGGACCGGGCCGGTGGGAGACTCCACTCTGGTCCCCGGGGCTCGGTGGGCCCCGTCTCCTCCCGGGCTTGTCAGGGACTGGCTGGGAGAAACGACCAGCACCACGGCCCACAGCCACCTCCCGCCTTCCTGGCCAAGTGGAATGTTTGCTTCCGATCAAATTCCAGCAGGCTGCCCGCCGGGCCCAGCGGGCCCGGCGTCCTGCCTGATTCACGGCGCCCTGCACCCCACTGCTCTCGCTGGTCCCTTTGGGATTAACTAGCGATAGAACCTGCTCGCCTTGTTCAGCTCAGCCCTGCAACCAGTGGCCTGTCAGGATCCGAGTCACCCGACGGAAAGACGAGGTAGGACCCAGGACAGTGGGGGGCAGGGGCCCGGGGAGGCCCACCCTCCCCACCAGCCTGGGCTGGACTCCTCTGCCAGAACCACTGTGGGAAGAGAGCATGCTGCACATGGTGGGGGCAATGATGGGGTTCCCGAGGACCACAGCGGGGAGGGGCGTGCCTGGGGACACGTGGTGATGTAGCAGGAGAAGCAGTGCCTGATTCAGATCTCCAGCTGTCAGCAAAGGGCCATGGGCCGCCACCTGCCTGCCACTGCCCAGGTCTGACCTCAGTCTCCAGTTTTATAAACCCTCGGTCTCGGAGGCTTTTAGGGTGGAGGGGCGCGGCAGAGAATGCAGAGGCCGGCTGCCAGCTGGAGGCCAGGCAGGGGTGGGCTATCCCTGTCCCACTAGGGCCACCCGGGTCAAGGATCGCCCAGGTCCCAGGGTGGAGCGCAGCTCTGCTGGGGCCCAGCTGGATCCCAGCCACTGGGGTGAGACCCTGGGGCTGCTGAGGCAGGCTGGGCTGCAAAACCAACAAAAGGGCCTCCCTCCTACTCCCTGGGGCTCATGAATCATCAGGCCTTTGGGGGAGTGCCAGAGTCATCATGACACAGCAAGAATCTTATCGCCCTAAGAGGGGAGGCAGCCCAGAAACACCCTGAGGAGAGGGAGGGCTGAGGCTGCCAGATCATGCCATGCACGGGCCCATCACTGGGATGGGACCTGAGCACCGATCGAGCCCACGGCCCTCGTGGTCCAGGTGGGGAAACCGAGGCCCAGAGAGGCGAGGGACGTGCTGAGGACCGTGCAGTGAGCCAGTCCTGCCCGAGGGGGCTCCCAGTCCTATCCTCTTTCTGTCGCCCCGATTGCTCTCTCCTCCCACTGTGGGGGGAAAGTGGCTCCAGCCTGGGAGAGGACACATGCGATCTGCCAGGCCCCAGGTTCCTCTCCCAATGCTGGTCTATAAGGAGAAACTGAGCTCTTTCATTCCAGAGCTCTCTGGACTGGGACAGTAAGTACCTCCACTCCCTTCCCAGCCGAGGGTGGGAGTCCTGAGAAGGGAGATAGTGGTCTCAGCGAAGGGAGAAGAGAGTGGCTGAAAGCCCATCGGTAAGTCCACGAGCCAGCCTCAGGACACCACCAGGAAGGAAGCTGGGCATGCGGGCGACGGTTGGGTAAGCGGCCCAGGGAGGAGAGGGGGCAGGGGACAGCCCCGCAGCCCAGCCTGCCCCAGGGGCACTGCGTCCGCTCGTCCTTCTGAGAGGAAGGCTCTGTTCCATGGCCCTGGGAACATGAAGGCCTGGCAGTGTCTGCTGTCACATGCACTCACCTTGGGTTCTGGCCCCCAGCACAGTTCCCACGAGGAGGGGGAGGGAGGGGGGAGGGAGGAGGGAGGAAGCCTCCCAGCTGGGCTAGGTGGGAGCTCTTCTAGATGCTGCCCTTGCAGGGACACCCTCCCGCACCCGGAACAAGAGGAGGGAGAAATACACAAGGGCTCTTCCTCAAGGACCCTCCTCCTCCCCCACTCCACCCTGCTGGAGCGGCACTTCCCACTTCTGCTCTAGAAGCCTCTGGTTATCGCTCCCACAACAGAGGAGAGCAAAGGGGAACCCTACTGTTGGCAAAGAAACAAAGTTGCCTAAGTCCAAGCCCATCCCACATGAAGGCAGTGGAGTCACAGAATCAGCTCAGCAGAGCCGCAGGGCCCTCCACACTTGCTTCAAAAGACCTCAGTTGCTAAGTGGAGATGATGAGGTTCAGAGAAGGAAAGACACCTGCCCCAGGCCACAAAGCAAACTTGGATGCTCTCAATGAGGTATCTAAGTGTCGAGGGCCTGGGGTCATATGCCATTTACTGAGGCCTGGGACCCTCTGTTGGAGCATCCTGTGACAGGCTGGTATGGGGATGGGGGGGAAGGAGGAAAAATAATCCTGAGTTACTTTCTCCCCCAACCCATTTCTTGGACAAGGTCCCAGGTGTTAAGGTTCCTGGCTCCTCTAAGGGGATGAAGCCGGGGCCAGGGTGGGGACCAGGCCTGCTCCGTGTGCTCCTCCTGGGCACCCCCCAGTCCTGGGTGACAGGGGATCAGGGGACAGTGTTTGGGGTGACCTTCCTTCCCTCCCACTGGCAGAGCCCTGCATTCTGGCTCGCTTTTCCAAGTTCTGAACAGAATCACAAAACTGGCAGGAAGCAGGCTCTGCAAAGCACGGTGGTGTGTTACGACACATGAACGAAGAACCGAGTTCCTCCAGAGCTGAGGGGACAGTGGTGTGGAAGTCACAGAGAGACAATGTCTGCCCCGTCAAGAGCTGACTAGTTTGGGTAGAACTCTCACTTGAGGTTTATATAATAATAAGTTACCAGCAAAGATGCTCATATCATGGGTAGCAGATTCTTGGTCAAGTCCACGATGAAAAGTGAAAAGAGACCACTTTCACTTTGAGATGAAACCCTGACAGCTCCCCAGCCCCTGCTCATGTCTTACCACTGGGTAGATCTTGTTTCCACACGGCACGTGGGGAGAGCACTTCAGTCAGGGGTCATGGCTCTCCGAGGACCCACCCTCCCTCTCCTGTTCCCCCACCCTCATCACGTATGGTCAGCGTACTTTACTTTTGACTTTGCTTCTACTCTTTGGCCTTTCTGATCAGAGAAAAGTGGCAGTTCCACTGGCTAGACAATGGGGCTGGTCTCAGTTCCTCAGCAGGCCTTGGAAGCTGGGGCAAAGAGATGGTGTTTCAAGAAAGGTTGAGTGTTTTTCCTCAGGGAACTTGACGGTAGAGAGATAAGGCAGAGATCCGGCCTCGAATCCTACCTCTGGATCTAACTGTGTGACATCTGTCAAGTCAGAAACAGGTTTGGAAAACATACTCCCAGAATGAATCGCTTCCCCTGTTTGCATCTCAGTTTTCCCTGTGGAGGAGGAAGTCCAACCAGACAGTCTCTAAGGACCTCCCAGCTCCAGGACATAGGTCTACAGTCAATGGCTGCACACGGACTTCAGAAATGCCTCGCAGTGTGTGTATACTGGGTGGTGGTAGGATGAGTGGCACATGAGCAAGGGCAACAGCGAGAGCCCAACCGAGCAGAGCCCGAGGGACCCGACGACAATCAGTTGGGAAAGCCCAGGTACCTAAAGGGAAGGGAACTGAAGCAACGTCACGCTCTAAGTCTTCTGCTTCTATGATGTGGGGCCTGGGGGAGACTCACCGATGCACCCATGATGATAAAGATATGCGTATCAGCCTGATGGAAGGCATCACCCTGGTACAGCTCTTCCCGCAGGATCCCGCACACCTGGGTCCGGCTCAGAGCCACCTGCCCTGCCATGATGCTCTCTGGTGGAAGAAAAACTGGTTAACAAGGCAGGAGAACAGAAGAGCATTGAGAAGCTGGCCCCTTTCTGGAGGGGTCCTTTGGGCTCTCACCCAGCTGGTGCCTGATTATTGAAACCACTCACTGTGAATGGCTGGGGAGCAGGACGTTTGGGAGGTTAGAAACTGCTGGCCCTGGTCTCTGGCCATACTCTCTGGGCAACCTTCTTTCATGGTGTATGTTACAAAATTACCCAAAGCACTCATTAGTGAATTCCTACTAGGGCCTCCACTCTGGGGAACTGAATAAAACCCTGCTGGAGCATTGTACGACCTGCTTAAGACTATCTCACCTGGGATTCAGGTGGAAACTCCACAATGAGCTGGAGCATGCTAGATTGTGCAGCTGATGGAGTGTGGCTCCAGCCCTCCTCCTGCCACGCTGCAAGACACCGGCAAGTCCCGTGTCCAGTGTGGCGGGGTGGGGCGGGGATGCAGGGGACTGTGAGATCGGCTAAGACCCTCTCGATTTTGCCCCGTTCCCAAGTATGGGAAATCAAAGTGCCTCGCAGCGCCGCGACCGCCCACTCAGTTACCTGTGCTTCGACGCTGCCGCCCGTCGCGCTCGCAGCCCCGGAGTTCCGGGCAGTTTCCGGGGGCTACTCCCCGCCGGCCCATTTAACCGGCGGGGGCGGGCACCTGGTCTGAGCTGACCAGCCTCAGGCGAGACGCGCGGGTGGGGCCTCTGCAGACCCCTCCCTCGAGGGGCGGGGAGGGCCAAGGGGCGGGCAGGTGCGCGCGCATTCCAGGCCGACCCCCACCGCCCCCCTCACCCCAGCAGACCCTGTGCGAGGGCCCAGCCCTGGCCCGCCCTGCCCTTTGAGCACCTGCGCTGGCTGCTGGGCTATGAGCCGCCTCCTTTACCCGCCGCCGCTGCACCGTGTCCCCGATGCTTAGGGAGTCCGCGTGCTGCTCTCCACTGCTCGCCCGCGTGCCCATCCCTGGCCCGACCCCGCCCCTATAGTCCAGCTTTCTCGCGCGCCCTGGGAGGTCCCCCGCCCTCGCTAAGGGCTCCACTTCCGCTGGCCGCGTGGTCACGCCCCTCGACCTTGTTTGTGGGCGGGGCCTTCAGCAGCCCCATCCCCTCGCTGGACCGGTCGCCGGATCAGGTCAAACCGGCCCTATTAGATGATAGCCTCGTCGTGGCTCCTCCCCTAACGGGGGCGGGGCTGCCAAGCGTCCCGAGGCTGGATGCAGCCGACGGAGAGACAAGGGGGAATGCGGGTCGCGACGCATATTACTGGGGAACGTCCTGAGGGCCAGCTGAGGCTGCCGGGCTCGGGTTTCGGTCTGAGGCAGCCTCCCTCACACCTCTCACCGGCCGGCCGGGGTCGGGGCCTGAGTGTTTTACTTCCGGATCCCACAGCTACGACACCGGAAGCCGGAAGTGGGAATTTGGCAGCGGGAGAAGGGAAGGGCTACCGCGGAACCCAGGCTTTCTCGGAGCATCGGGGTCCGAGGAGCGCTCGGGGCCCGCTACTCCCGCCTTTCTCACGTCGGACCGACTCTGCTGACAGGTGTGGTCCTCTTTTCCGAAGACAGGGTACCATCGGTGGGTGTTCCGCCGCCTCCGAGACCCCCCTCCCCGGACGACCAGGCTTCCCCCTCCTGTTGGGCCCCGGCCGGGTTCTGCCGCCAGCTTCTAGACCAGGGGCCGAGCCCAGCCGATTTAGGACTCAGGTTACTTTAGGGGTGAGCGGGACTGTTCCTGCCTGTTCTTCCTCCACCACGGCGGAGTCTGACCACACCCCTAGTTTGTGAATGACTCTTCTAGTTCGGAGACATTTTCTGTTCAAACTTGACTGCATTTGAGGTTAAGTTCTTTAAAAAGGCCTCAAATATAACTTGGCAGCTAAGTATCTTAACTCATGTGTCTCATTTTGCTCCTTTTGCAAAAGGTGACTGTCTCCCGGACCTCATATCATTTCTGTGACTTGAGGATGAATGGGTCATCCTGGCATGTTCGAGGAACTCATTAAGGCGGCCACTATACCTGGAGTAGAGTGAGCGAGGGGAGAGTACTTAGAGTGGAAGCCATGGGGGACCAGATAGCGCACGGCCTTGTAGGCGGGTTGTAGGGTCTTTGAGTTTTACGAGATGGGCAATGAGAGACACCATGGTAGGGATCCGAGTAGAAGAGGAATGTGATCAGAGTCACCTTTTAGGCTGATTGTTCAGCTGATTGTTCGCTGATTGGCGCGGTGGGGAGAACAGACTGTAGGGGGCAAGGGTAGGAGCAGGGTGACCTGTTAGGAGGTTATTGTAGTAATCCAGGTGAGAGACGATGCTGCTCTGATCATTTTATTATGTAAAATTTCAAAGATGTTCAAAAGTAGAAAGAATAGTCTGGTAAATCCAATGTATCCACTTCCCAGCTTCAACAGTTACCAACTCGTGGCTACTTTTGTTTAATTTATACCCCTCACAGTATTCTATTATTTTCAAAAATAGCTTTATTGACATATAATTCACATACCTTACAATTCACCCATTTAAAGTGTACAATTTGCTGGTATATTCACAGACTTGCACAACCATCACCATTAATTCCAGAACATTTTCATCACTCCAAAAAGAAATCCCATAAACTTTAGCCATCACCCCCATCACCCCATCTACCCCAGCTCTAAGCATCCACTAGTCTCTATGTATTTGCCTATTCTGGACATTTCACATAAATGGAATCATATAATATGTGGTCTTTTGTGACTTGTTTCTTTCTCTTAGCCTAATGTTGTAGCGTGGGAACATACTAGATTTTGTTTATTCATCAGCTGATGGACATTTCGGTCATTTCCACTCTTTGGCTGTTAGGAGTAATGCTGCTGTGAACATCCCTGTGTGGACATGGGTTTTCATTTCTTTCAGGTAGATACCTAGGAGTTCCCCCATTATTTTGAACCAAATTCCAGACAGTGTAATTTCGTCCACAAATATTTCAGTGTGCATCTCTAAGAAATGACTTTGAAAGAAACATAACCACAATACCACTATCACACCTAAAATAGTTACCATTATTTGCTTAGCATCATCAAATAAATTCTAAGGTACATTTTGACAGGATTTCCTGATGGATCCAATGTGAGCTGTGAGCGGCAGAGAGGACTCAAGAAGGACTCCTAGGTTTTTGTCCCGCTAACTGGAGGATGGATTTGCCACCAACTGCTAATAAGGAAGGCCGTGGGTGAGCTGGCTTCTGGGGACTGTCAGGAGTGCAGTTTTAGAGACTTTTGTTTTTTTTGCAGTACGCGGGCCTCTCACTGTCGTGGCCTCTCCCGTTGCGGAGCACAGGCTCCAGACACGCAGGCTCAGCGGCCATGGCTCACGGGCCCAGCCGCTCCGTGGCATGTGGGATCTTCCCGGACCGGGGCACGAACCTGTGTCCCCTGCATCGGCAGGCGGACTCCCAACCACTGCGCCACCAGGGAAGCCCGAAACGTTAGTTTTGAGAGGATGACTGGATACCCAAGTGGAGATGTGGAGTTTGATGTGTTAGTTTGGAGTTCAGGAAGGAGTTCTGAGTTGGGGTATCATCAGCATTAAGATGAGGGTTACAGCTTTGAGTCTGGATGGAATTAGTATTGGAGTGACTGGAGTTAGAGAAAAGATCCCAGAACAGAGCCCTGGGCACCGCCACGTGAAGGGCTGGGCTGACGAGGATGGTCCAGTGAAAGAGCCGGAGCAGGGGCAGCCCGTGAGGCAGGAGGAGAACCAGGAGAGTGGGCTGTTCTGGAATCAGGGACCAGCGATCCGTCAGATACTGCTGGTGGGTCAGGAGGGTGTTCAGATAAGTATCAGTGTAATAGTGAAATGTCCAGGCTCACTTGGTGTTTGAGTCTCTGGCTGAAGCTCAGGCCCTACTCCTGGACACTTCTGTTGGGATTGGCCTCCTCCTCCATGTAGTCAGTCTTCTTGGTCAGGACTTAAAAGGGCTCCAGGCTGCTGCTGTCCGGCATAGCCTCCCTCTCTGTACTCTAGTTCACAAGAGAACACAAACAGCTCAGCCTGTGTCTGCCACTCTCTCTTCGGCTGTGAGCCCAGCCGGCTGTGAGCCCAGCTCCCACTTACACGTCAGATGCTAGATGTCCGCCTCGGCCCCTCAGGTCCAGGGAACACTCATCAGGCTCTGAGTGAAGCCCCTCTTACCTGGTGTATGGACTTCCTAGTGCTGCTGTGGGAGATTTCCACAAGCCAGGGGGCTGAAAACAACAAATTTATCCTCTCCCAGCTCTGGAGACCAGAAGCCTGAGATCGAGGTGTTGGCAGGGCCGTGCTTCCTTTGGAGGTTCCAGGGGAGGGTTCTTCCTGCCTCTTCCAGCTTCTGGGGGCTCCAGGTGCCGCTTGGCTTGTGGCCGCATCCCTCCCGTCTCTGCCTCCATCTTCACGTGGCTTCTCCTTTGCGTCTGTATCTCTGCTCTTCTGTGTCTTATAAGGACCCTGCCATTGGATTTAGGGCCACTCTCATCCAGGATGATCTCATCACCAGATCCTTAACTTTATTACATCTGCAAAGGCCCTTTTGCCAAGTCAGATCACAGTCACAGGTTCTGGGGGTCAGGGCGTGGACATACCTTATTGGGGGCCATCATTCCACTCAGTACACTAGGTGAGGGGCCAGCACCCTCCACTCGTGCTTGGAGGTGTAGGTGTCAGGGTAGGATTCCCGGCACACTGGCACCTCCCTCCAAAAATAATCTCCGTGATTTCTCCTCTCTGGTGAAGTTCCTCAGGTTACAGCCTGGAGATAGTGCTAGGCACAGTTTACAACCAGTGCTGAAC